CACCTTGTCCATCAGACAAACTAGACGTTGGGCTGCATTGCATAGACGAAATGGCATGACCCGATACTGGTATAAGGGCCTACCTGGTACGGTAAAAGTGGTAAAGGGCTTGCTTTTGTCGTCTGGTTCGACTAGAAAATAAGCGACAATAAGCGAACTTTAGATCCACACTTGAGATGTAGTAGGTCTGGTCTATGCCTTCTATACAGGGTAGTGGATACGCGTATTTTACCGTCAAATTGTTGACCTTGCGTTCATCTAGGCAAAAATGGTTTTTACTTGGTATTCGCACTACAGTTGTGCGGTTACTCCATGGGCTGTTACACTCTTCTATATTTTGTTCACTATATCATCCACTAATTTCTACATCGCCAGCGATGTAGAAATTAGTGGATGATATAGTGAACAAAATATAGAAGAGTGTAACAGCCCATGGAGTAACCGCACAACTGTAGTGCGAATACCAAGTAAAAACCATTTTTGCCTAGATGAACGCAAGGTCAACAATTTGACGGTAAAATACGCGTATCCACTACCCTGTATAGAAGGCATAGACCAGACCTACTACATCTCAAGTGTGGATCTAAAGTTCGCTTATTGTCGCTTATTTTCTAGTCGAACCAGACGACAAAAGCAAGCCCTTTACCACTTTTACCGTACCAGGTAGGCCCTTATACCAGTATCGGGTCATGCCATTTCGTCTATGCAATGCAGCCCAACGTCTAGTTTGTCTGATGGACAAGGTGCTTCCTTACAATGTATAAGGATATGAACAATGGAAGGGTATTAAAAGGATTCCCATATGAAGAACTTGTTCGAGCATACATGTCGGACCGAAATAGAATTTTTGGTGAGCGAGAGGTGGATGGGATGACGCTGGCCACCCGACGAGTGGTGGAGCTCGGACGCGCTTCCGCAGACGCAGGGTTACGAGGCGCCAGGCCATTGAAGCTGTGAGACGGGAGGATACCATAGACCTACGCGTATTCGCCGAAGTGGAGGTCGCTGGAATCAAAATGATAGGGTTGTTAGACACAGGACCCTCTGTCAGTCTGCTGGGAAAAGGAAGTCGAGAATTAGTCGAAGAATTATGGGTTGCGTGGCAACCTTACGTTTCGGTAGTCACCACCGCTGGAGGAGAGGATAAAACGATTATAGGTAGGGTAGAACTCCCAATCTCGTACAGGGAACAACATAAAAAAAAACGTTTTTTATCTGCCTCTACCTGAAACAGCGCGCCTATTTTGGGATTGATTTCTGGCGAGCATTTAATTTAGCCTCAGACATTTTGGGCCCCGAGAATCTAATTTCCACGGAGCACCTAGGGGAAGAGCTCTTGGCCGTGTCGATGACGCACTATGCGGAAGAAGAGGAGGAACTCGAAAGTGAGCCGGATTCATGGGCGTTGTCTAGGGAAGAAAGGATAGAGTTGGAGGCGATAAAGCGGGAGTTTTTGCCTTTTGAAAATAGCGCATTAGGAACGACAGATTTAGAGAAGCACACTATCGAGTTAGTGGAAGGTGCGCAACTATTCAATGATAGACCCTACCCGTTATCGCCAGCGATGCAGAAAATGGACGATGAAGTGAACAAAATGTTGAGTTTGGGGCAACAGCCCATGGAGTAACCGCAGCACAGTGGTGCAAAGACCGGGTAAAAACCGTTTTTGCTTAGATGCACGCAAGCTCAAAAATTTGAGCTAAGGTCCAACGTCTTTGTGCATTTGGACGATCTAATAGTTATTTCCCCAGATTTGCAAACGCAGTTAAGATAACTGCGACAAGTGGGCAAATGCTTAAGGTAAGCGAATCTCTCAATCGGACTGCACAAATCCAAATTTTGCTTCAAGACATTAAAATACCTAAAATTCATTATTGGGGGTGGCATGCTGCGTATGGACCCCGAATGGGCTATAGCTATTAAACGGATCCCCGTGCCTCAGTCGGGCAAAGAATTTCGCTCTTTTTTGGGTACGACAGGCTGGTACCGGCGCTTTGTGCGAGATTTCATGGCCGCACCACTGACCGTAATGTTAAAAAAATATAGCGGAAAGTTTGTATTGAGTGACGAGGCAACACAAGCCGTTGAACAGTTAAAGACCGCCCTGACCACGGCCCCAGTGCTCGGGCAAGCGGATTTCTTCAAGCCCTTCTTCGTACAGTGCGATACGCCTCAGTTCGGCGTGGGAGCGGTGTTTTTCCAAAAAGACACCGATTGTCAGGACGACCCATAGCCTTCTTTTCAGCCAAGTTGAACAAACACCATCGGAACTATTCCGTCACTGAAAAGGAGTGCTTAGTGTCGATACTGGCCATAAAAAAGTTCAGATTGTATATAGAAGGGATGCCTTTTACTTGCATCACTGACCACGCCAGCTTAAAATGGCTAATGTCCATGAAGGAGCTAAGCGGGAGACTAGCTTGTTGGTCATTGCAGTTAGTAAAGGCTACGACTTTACCATCGAGCACCGTAAAGGCAGTGAAAATGTGGTAGCCGACCCTCTATCGCGCAGGGTCGAAGCAGTGAGCAAGGTTCCAGGTCTTGAATTTGAGAACCGCGAGTTCGAGTTAGCGGAATATCAGACGTTGCTCGAACAGGTACGTTCGAATCAGGACAAACTACCAGACCTGAAGGTTGAGGAGGGTTTGGTTTTTAAAGCGCATGGGGTTCGTCCACTCAGAAGACGAGTTAGAAGGCACCGTGTGGAAGTTGTGGGTGCCAAGCTCTTTGACAGCTGTCTTAATTGCGAAGGCTCATGTAGATGGGACGGTTGATCATGGGGGTGTCGTGAAAGCACTGGAGACCTTGCTTCGGCAGTTTTATTGGCCCGGCATGGCTAGACAAGTAAGGACAAAAACTGTACTGGGAAAGTACCCACGTTCGAGGTTCTTAAAAGCGATGCGAGAGGCTATGGCTCTTAACGTAGAGGACTTTTTGGTTAGTGAAGTTTTCTATAAGTTTGAAGTAACCGTGGTCATTCCCTCTGACAACGGACGACAGTTCATATCGGGTACGTTCCAAAACATGATCTCAGCTTTCGGCATCTCGCATATGCGCACTGCAGTCAATGCGCCACAGAGCAATGCAAGTGAATCGTACCGTATAATCGGCGATCCGGGCGTATCTAGAGCAAGATGACCGCGAGTGGGTCCTCAACCTTCCAAAAATAGAAGTGTCCATACGAAATGCCACTCACACAGCCACAGAGGTGACTCCATTCTTTGCCGCTTTCGGGCATCATATGTTCCTAAACGGGGCATGCTACAAATTGACTCGTAGATTAAAGCCTCTGGGTAGTCATGAGATTTCTTCTTTGCAAGGGAAGCCCCTAGGTGTGTTTCATGCTAAAGATATACGGGTATAGAACAAGGTCGTGGTGTGCTTCACGTTGGGTGCGGCTCAGCTTAAGGAAAAGAGTGTGGCCTACGTTGGGCGTTCTAATTAGCCGGCTGGGCGTGAAAATATGGAAAATGCGCACGCAGATTAACTGTAAACACGTCGTCCATTTGTTTACAATAATCTGCTTGGAGAAGTTGCATTTGACTTTATTGGCAGCATCGATAGTTTGCCTTGTTGGTTGCGTTCTTTATAATCGGCCACGCCGATATCTTTTTTCCGTATGAGCAGAGTAGCGGGGGTGAAACCAAGCACACAGCGGCGCACAATTAATTGAAAAGTGGCAACGCCCGGCTTGCGATACCCTGCACAGAGAGGGGTAACGCCATTGAGCGAGCATGATTAGGCAGCCGATTCGCTCATAGAGAGATTAGGAGGAGAGCAGATCGGGTGCCCTTTTTAATACCCTTGGCCTACAACTGGGCCGTTGACCCCAAAGTGCAGCTGTGCAGATGGGCAGCAACGGTGCCCGCCTCGTATATGTATGCGTGTGCCGAAATGCGGCACCAATGATGTTGCTGCCCAAATGTACAGCAGGGAGCTCAATTTGGTCAGCGGTTAGTGGCAGGCGTGTTGTGCGCCGGCGCACCTTTGAAAAAAATTTTGAAAATATATATCAAGTAGCTTTTATTTTATAGCTATCGCCACCTCCCAGCTACCACCATAAAGCTATAAATCATGTTAGTAAACCAACTTGTATTGCCTAACTAATTAAGCCACAATTTGAATGCAGTTGTCATTTTGAGAATACACAAATATTTTATGGTATTATAAGATCTTCTACTGAAAATTTCATCAAGATCGGTTAAGAAACACGAAAGAAAATGTGTTTTGGCCTGCAAACACGTGCAGCAGCAAGCGCAAATTCCAAGAATTGTACACACACATTCATGCGAGCCTGCTTTGAATTCTATCAACAGCATTGCAATTGCGATTGTATTGTTTTCTGTGCTGCTATTTGAATTCGTTTATTTTCTCATTAAGACTTAACTGTTGCTGTGGCTATTGAGTAGAAGCGGCGGAAAGCAGCGCAATCAGTTACGACTTCGAACCTTGCCGAGAAAACCATTTTTTTTTTTGGCTGGTGTAAGTATTACGTAGAGGCGGCAGCAAGTAATGCGGTCAGTTGCGAGTTCAAACCCTGCCAAGGGAACTTTTTTTTTTTATTTATCTTTATTACCACTTAAGCAAACGAGCGCGTTGGTGTTGGAATAGGAGAGTCCAAGGTATCCCCTAGTCGGGAGCTCCCGGCTAGAACCTCTTACTGGTTTTTTTTGTTTAGTGGTGCCCAAAAAATAAATGAATTGAAGCAACGCCACTCAATATAAAAAAATATTTATATATGTATATATATAAATTGGAAAATGAATCGGGCAGCGCAAAAAATTAGTTAGTTTTCTTTAAATTGAAAAAAAAACCTTTGTGTCGTACGCCAAAATTTATTCACACAGTTAATGCTCAGACCAGCCTGAAAATATCAGTGGCTGGACGAAGATAATAAAACAAAAAGAAAATAAAGTAATAGCATTCAAAGTGCCAGCCAAGGAGCCACGCAGAGGACGACATGCTGTTTTTCCCGCCTCAAAAGCCGTTATCTGTGGACCGGCCAATCTCATCGACGCGAGAGGGATCCGCACCAGAAGGCACGTCGACGACTGCCAGCGTCTCTTCGCTCAATTGTCAATAAATATAAGATGATGTAAATAATTATACGCACTTGTTGAAGTTGAAAGGAAGTCATGAAAACATAATTAGAAGTATGGAGATATCCTGTGAAGATAAATGAAATAGGAGATATTGATTGTTAATAACTATATGAAATGCAGCCAATTAGACGCACATACTGAAGGAAAACGATGTCCGGCTTAATATCCATTGATGGGGAGATGGGGCATGACAGCCGACACAGGCTGATGAAGGCCATCTAGTGGCCAAAATGAGGGAAATGATAATAATAATAATAGTGTTTTTTGTTAATTTATATTGAGCGTCTGACCTTTGTTGATTACATTTTCTTGTTGTTACAGCTCTTAGTGTTGTTTATTTGTTAATAGTTCCGGCTGTTTGATGTTATCGATTATGTGGTTCATTTTGAATAGTGTGTGTAGGTCTGTTATGCTACAGACGTTGTAGCTTTGTTGATATCGATTGTGCGGACTGCGGGACTACACCCAGAGAACTGATGAGCAAAACTAATGATATAAACTAATTTTATTGAAATATTTTTTTTATGGTCATTTGAGAGCTTGAAAGTCACTTGAATTTTTACTAAACATAGAAGAAACGCATAATTCCCAAATCTATAAGATGCATTGTATCCAATGGAATTTGTGTGACAAATTTAATATATACATTTTCTAAAACTTTTCTATCAGTAGAATAAGCTTGACTGTGGTGTTGGGGGTATTTTCTACAGGAAATATCGGAATCATTTATTAGGACTCCTGATACAGTATTATATGTTAATACACCATAAATTTTCCTAGCTACTTGCGTACACTTTGCACAACCATGGCGTAATGTGTGGGATGGTATTCCACTTTTGAAAGCTCTAGCTGGAGCTAGATCGCATTAATTTCAGTCCTTATCACTTTATTTTCTAACTCATGCCCACACTTTATTATATCGGACATCTCAATGAACAATTTTTCTAAATACTCCTTACAATTTGTTGGCTTGGATTTACCCAAAAAAATGTCATCTGGAAACACTGGCATGCCGTCGACATTATTAAGTCGAATCAAAATTGGCCATAATTGGCTCCTGGAGCTTCTAAGTAGTGGTAGTCCGTCTTTGTTTATATCTAAGTTCAAGCACTTACCATAGATCATATACTAAGAAATACATATGATTTGTGTGGTAGAACGGCATCGCTGACTTTTTATTAATAAACTGCTTTGGTTTACTCTCATCTATGAGAGTAGGCGACGCCTTTCACCGAAAAACGAAACAAGTGTGTATTGTGCTCCGCTAAAATCTTAAAAAAAAATGCCAAATCACGGACAAGCCCACCCAACAGTGGCATAACAGAACATTTAAAGTGAGCTCAGCCCAAAAACAATCAAAAACAGTGTAAAAGTGCCGAAAATAAAGAAAACCGTAAAAATTAAAACTGCAAATGTGCAACTTGCACACAAGCAAAAATTGGGAGCTGTCAAAGTCAGTGCTGCCAATAATAATGCAGAGTTGCCTACAAAGAGCAGTCAGCTTAAGAAATTGTCAGGCTGCCATAGCAAATGAAAACCTCAAAAACAACGACGTCCCTGCTGCTCATACATACAGCACACGCAGCAACACCTGCAACACCAACAACATCCCACCACCAACTAATTCCGAAGCCAACAGCAATCAAGTGCAGGGGCTTTCAGCCGAGCTGAATTCGAAACCTCCACAGCACCTCCTCCCCAGCGCCGTCATTCCTGACATCGGCACGGATAACGCCATCACTAGAAACACTAACCAAGGTAACCTTCAGCTAGCTGACTTTTCTCCCCCTGCTCAGCCCAAACGTAAGAGCATTACTAATAAAAAGTCATCAGCAAGTTCTTTCCCGTTGCTCTCGAAAGCAACAAGCAACAGATTCCATGCACTGAGTAGCGAGTCAGACGAAGAATCAGCAGACGAGGATAGCGAAGATATGGAAAATACGTCCGTCGACTACGCAGACTCGCTCTCAAATCTGCTGGACGAGATCAAACAGCGCACCCAAAATGGCTGCGGGCAGAACAACTCAGCCGCAACCAGCGACTCGGAGCAGGAGGCCGACGTGAGCCCGGACGCTTGTACTGTTAAAGCATGTGACAAAGCCGACTTGCACTCAAATCCCGGGCATAGTTGCCCTACTCCTAATACAGGAATCCCTGACCAAAATAGGCGAAAACTTGCGAAACCCAAGCCTCCTCAAATTTCTCTTCCGCGAATCAGCAATTTACCCTTTCTACTGGATCTGCTCCAAAAAAAAACGTCGACTTGAACAAAGTCGAACCAAGAACTTCAGTAGGGGCTATAACCCGGTTATATGCCCAAGATGCAGACACATTTAGAGCAGCTCAAAAACTACTCCAAGCTGCTAACCTCGAATTCTACACGTACCAGCTCAAGGAGGAGCGGCCGTACAAAATAGTCATAAAAGGACTACACGATTCAACTTCACACGCCAAAATCCGCGACGATTTCAACGCTCTAGGGCATGTAGTTACACATATTCACTGCCCGGACAACTCAAAGAGAACGGACAAGCCAATCCACCTATTCTTTGTTAACCTAGCCCCTGGTGGCAATAAGGACCAAATTCATAACATACGCTATCTTGCCGGCCAGAGATGCTTTATCGAGGAAGCCCGCAAAAAGCAATCTCTAACTCAGTGCAGCCGATGTCAGCAATTTGGCCACACAGCAAAATACTGCCGACAGAAGCACATCTGTGTCAAATGTGGGGAACAGCACAAATCCGGGGACTGCACACGGCCCGACTCGGTTCGAGCGACCTGTGCCAACTGCGACCTGGACCACCCAGCCAACTACAAGGGCTGTGAGGCCTATCAGAGTTTCGCCAAACGAAACCAACGCAAGCCATCGATCCTTAGCAGCACACAAGCAGCTCGACAACCACTTAGCCACCGCCATCAAGCAGTGGCAAGCTCTTCACGCCCTCTGGCCCCAGCCTCCAGCCCTACAACAGGCCACACATATGCCCAAGTCGCTCGTGGCAACAGCTCCATGCAAGACGAATGGCCAACTGTTGGACAGTTCATCGCTCCCACACAGCACCCTCGGCAACGACAACCTAACCTTTTTCAAGAGCAGGAACACCAACGCCAACAACAAACGCCTCGCCAACGCCGTGGTGCTCAACAACAGCCTGGGCCACAAGAGTTACCCACAAACCGCACCGAAAACCATCCTCCCATGGATCGAGTTCTCGAAGCAATCGAAGCTCTAAACACATCGATGCAGAGCTTTTTCAAGATGCAAGAGGCGAACATGCAGATGCAGAATCGCATGCTCGAGCTCCTTAGCGCGCTTCTTTCAAAATGAGCACCCTCAGGGTCCTGTGCTGGAACGCGGGCGGCGTCCCAGCCAAAATCCATGAGTTGCAACTCTACATGCAGCTCCACAAGGTAGATATCGCACTTTTAAGCGAAACCCACATGCGTGATCTGGAGACTCCCCGCATTCCTGGGTACTCCTCCTACCCAGCGAATCACCCCGCCCAACGACGCTGGGGTGGCGCAGCAATTCTTATCCGCAGTGGTATCTCGCACTTCCCCACCGCCCCCAAACGCGAAGCCGACCTGCAACTGGCCACTGCAATAGTCTCAACGGATTCTGGAGACGTCGAATTTGGGGCCATATATTGCCAGCCCGGCTTCAGATGGACAGCCAATGAGCTCTGCCAGCGTTTCAGCACCCTCGATCCAAAGTGCTTACTCGGCGGTGATTGGAACGCACACCATCAGCTTTGGGGGGCAAGCCGCAGCAACGCCAGGGGACGTGAGCTCACCGATTTCATGCACGACGCGCGCTTTGAATGTCTAGCCACTGGCAGCCCCACGAGGTTCCCACCACAGGCTGGCCGCAGACCCTCCTGCCTCGACTTTGCAATATACAGGGGTCTCCCACACTGGACGCTCAGCATTGAATCTCGTGCTGACCTGAGCTCCGACCACTTGCCGCTGGTAATTTCAATCAATACCGCCGCCAGACACTACCCAACGCTGGAAAGGATCATCGACAGGCAGACCAATATAAATGTCTTCAGCCGCAAGCTAAACGACATCATCTACCCGGACATGGATATAGCTTCCGCAGAGGACATCGACGACGCTCTTAACGGATTCACCGAAAAGGTGCGGACTGCAGCAGCTGAAGCCAAGCGTCCTCTACCCAGTCGATGCAGGCACCGCGACGGGCTATACAAACTCTCGCCGGACCTGTTAATCCTACTTAGAGAAAAAAGAAGGCTTCGTAAGATCTGGTCGCGCACTCGACACCCCGGCGACAAGGCGAACTGGCGCAGAATCGCTGACGAACTGCATCGGGAGCTTCAAGTGCAACGGGCAAGATATTTTGACGACATGCTGATGAACATGTCGTCCCAACATAACGCGGATTTCTCGCTGTGGAAGGCGACACGCGGCACAAAACGCCAACCTCTGAGGCAGGCTCCCCTCAAAAGAAGTGACGGCGCCTGGTGCCGCTCAGACGCAGAGCAGGCTGCAACCTTTGCTGCCCACCTCGAGGAGCGATTCACGCCATTCAGCATCGCCACGGAAGACGAGATTGCCGAGACGAGAGCCGCTGTAGCCTCAGAAACAGAGCCGGACTCCCCCCCAACTCCATTTACCAAAGAGGAGGTGAAAAGAGTGCTCCAACGCTTGAAGCCAAACAAGGCCCCGGGACACGACTTAGTGTGCAATCGCACATTAAAAGCGCTCCCCACGAATGCTATCCTTTTCCTGGTATTAATATTCAACGCCATAATGAGGTTGAAGTATTTTCCGGAAGCGTGGAAAATTTCCATCGTGACCATGATCCACAAGCCTGGCAAGCCGGAGGACGACCCCGAGTCATATCGACCGATTAGTCTCCTGCCTGCACTATCCAAGGTCTGGGAAAGACTTGTCGCAGCAAGACTTACGGCCTTTGCAGAGTCACGGCACCTAATTCCTGGCCACCAGTTTGGCTTTCGCGCTGGGCACGGAACCACGGAGCAGCTACATAGGGTCATCAACCACGTTCTGGAGGCATTTGACAAAAAATTGTACTGTGTGGCGACTTTTGTCGATGTCAGCCAGGCATTCGACCGTATCTGGCACCTAGGGCTACTGGCAAAACTGAAACGCGGACTGCCCTCGCCCTACTTCACCCTGATCCGATCCTACTTGGAGGGTCGTTCTTTCAGGGTGAAAGTTAGGGCGGAGCAGTCCCCCACACATTACATCCAAGCTGGCGTCCCGCAAGGTAGTGTACTAGGGCCACTTCTATTTTCGCTCTTCTCCGCAGACATGCCTACTCCAGACGCCCATGCCCTCGGTCTGCCTTCGCGCTCACTTCTAATGGCCTCATATGCCGAC